ATGGACTTCATAGAACCTTCTACTCCAATGGAAGATTCCTTTGTGAATGAAAGCCTTCTGTATATGCTAAGAGTTGCTCTCATTCTTAAAGGGTGTGTGTGTGTGTGTGTGTGTGTGTGTGTGTGTGTGTGTGTGTGTATGGTGTCCAAAATCTTCTCATGTTCATGTTGTTTGATAAAGGAAAATGTTGATTTATTTTTCATCCTCTTTTCCTCTGGAAATCCTCATCCATAAGAAATAATCCCCATATTGTACACCAACGTTTATAGCAGTGCAATTCACAACATCGAAGTGATCAGCCCAGGTGCCTGTCAACAGATGAATGGAAAAGAAAATGTGGTATATGTATACAATGGAATATTACTCAGCCATAAAGAAGAATGAAATTATGGCATTTGTCAGTAAATGGATGGATCTGGAGACCATCATGCTAAGTGAAATAATCCAGACTCAGAATGTCTAGGGTCAGATGTATTCTGTCATATGAGGAAGTATGCACTCAGGGAGAGGGAGCAGAGAGAGGAATAGAGGGAGAGGGAGAGAGGGAGAGAGGGAGAGGGAGAGGGAGAGAGAGAGAGAAAGGGAGAGAGGAAGAGAGAAATAAGAAAGGGGGCTGGGATTGTGGCTCAGGGGCAGAATGCTTACCTAGCACATGTGAGGTACTGTGTTCGATTCTCAGCACCGCAAATAAATAAATGAATAAAATAAAGATTCATCAACATCTAAAAGGCTATTTCAAAACAGAAAAAAGAAATAAGAAAGGGATTTCATGAAAATAAAAGGGAAACCAATAGAGTAGAAGAGAGGAATGGAGAGGGAGGAGGAGGGGAGGGCTGGGGAACTACTGGGGAGAAATCTACCAACTATGGTGTGTCCATGTATGTGTACACCACAGTGAATCCTGATTTTATGTAAAATTATAATGCACTAATAATAATAATAATAATAATAATAGAAGGGACATCAGTGAAGTAAAGCAAGTGGATCAGGGGGAGGAAGGAGGGGAGAGAAGGGAAGGCACTGGGGAATGAGATTGCTCCAGTGACGTTATGTACGTGCATAAATACAGCATAATGAATCTCACTATTATGTGTAATTATAATGCACCAATAAAAGAAAGAAAAACAGAAATAAATCTCAGAAATAAAAAGTTTTATATTAGTTTGATTTTTAATTGAGTAATGATTATTTGGAATTATAATATATCTGGGAAATGAAAAATTCTTCTAATTTGTTCACAAAAATATCCTAAAGTTTAAATAATATTTTTCTAGAAATTTATTTATTTTAACTGAGGAAAAAACATTATGTAGTGTCGCTTTATTAAAATGGACAGGTAGCTGTATATCAATGGATGCTATGACAGGACAAACAGTTGTCCCAGAAACTAACTTATTCAGAATCCAATCTTCCCTGAATTCAGCTTGAATTCTCAAAAGCTGGTTGTGGAATATACTGTACTTTGTGATAGAAGTTTCTCGTTTAAAAAAACGGACAAAAATAATTGTCTCAGATCCATTACTCAAGACTGTCCCCATTACTCAAGACTGTATTATTTTCTTTTTTTAAAAAAACATTTTTTTAATATTTATTTTTTTTAGGTGTAGATGGACACAACACAATACCCTCATCTTTATGTGGTGCTGAGGATCGAACCTGGGTCCCGCCCATGCTAGGTGAGCGCTCTACTGGGAGCCACAATCCCAGCCCAAGACTGTATTATTTTCAACAAAGTAATATTTAAATTTAATGGACATGTCATTGATAGGAAAGTGTGTTGCATTTTTCAAACTGAGTCTTCCTTTGTATCCCTTGCCTGCATTAAAGAGAAATATCTTGCCTATCTGACTCCATTAGCAATTTTTATCTTTTGCAATATGCTTCACATTCTAGACCTCTATTTGTCCTGCTCTGACTTTTTCAATGTATTGTTATTAAAATCAGTCAAAATTCTAATGATAAAGATATTGCTTGTTGGATGCTGTTGTTCAACTTTTCCTACCTTGGTTGTTAAATTTGAAAAAGTTTCATGAGACACGTTGAGTTTGGACTTGATAGCTACTACTTCAAAAGATGGTTTTAGGCTGGGCATAGTGGTGCATGCCTGCAATCCCAGTGAGTCAAGAAGCTGAAGCAGAGGATTGCAAGGTCACAGCCAGCCTCAGCAATTTAGCTAAAAAATAAAAAGGGCTGGGGGTGTGGCTCAGAGCTTAAGCACCCCTGAGTTCAATTCCCTGTACCAAGAAAAAAAAGTTATTAAATAAATATCGAATTTAAAAAAATATTTATTTTTTAGTATAGGTGGACACAATATCTTTATTTTATTTTTATGTGGTGCTGAGGATGGGACCCAGTGCCTCAGGTATGCTAGGCAAGCGCTCTACCTCTGAGCCACAACCCAGCTCAATACTGAATTTTTAAAAGAAAAAAAAAATTTGTTTGTATGCAGTCACATTTTGGCATTTATCAGTTCAGAGAAGAATTTCAGATTGGCCAGGAGGCTAAGCCAGACAAATTCTGGTCTGCTAGGCATAGCTAGTTTTTTTCTTCAACCCTGTTGAGAAATGTGAAAAAGCAATAGTACTAAAGCTTAAAAAATAAATAAATAAATAAAGAGTAACCAAGTCAAAGTCAAGTTTTGTTGCCTTATGATCTTTTAACTACATTTCACTCTTGAGCACACTACTCCAACTTCATGGTTTAGGGCACATGAAGACTCACTATCCTGTTCTCTCTACTTTTGTTTGAAATTTTGTACAACAGAAATGTTAAGGGCTGGGGTTGTGGCTCAGGGATAGCGTGCTTGTCTGGTATGTGTGAGGCACTGAGTTCAATCCTCAGCACACATAAAAAATAAATGAATAAATAAAGCAAAGGTCTTGTGCCCATCTACAAGTAACTAACTAAATTTTTTAAAACTGTTAAAAAATAAAAGACTGGGGTCTGGGGTTGTGGCTCAGAGGTAGAGCATTTGCCTAGCATGTGTAGGCACTGGGTTTCATTCTCAGCATTGCAAATAAATAAATAAATAAATAAATAAATAAAGGTCCACTGACCACTAAAAAAGACTGTATTTAAGCTTTTTTTTTTTTAAAAAAAAAGATGAAGAAGCTTCTTCTTCTATTTTTTTTTCAATAAAATGCCTTGAATTTGGTGATTTATTTTGTGATGATGAGGAAAGTTGGCCAAGGTTAAAGCCTGAACATTCTTCATTCTTGATCGTAGAGAAGGATCACAGATGACCTATTTTTTTTTTCCTTTCTTTCTTTCCTTTTTTTTTTTTTTT